TATATATATATATATATATATATGTATGTATGTAAATTTCCCTTTTAAGAATTATAGATACATCTACTATCAAATAAACGCAAAATTTGACTTTCTAATTTTTTTTAATAAATAATAAAAAATATAATGTATAGCATTCAAAAACATTCATATTTATAAATGTGGCACTCTATTTCAGATATAGAGTACTCTTCATACTGTTAAATAACAAAAGCCTCAACTGACGCGGAGCTCTTACCCACGCAAATGGACTCCACTGGCGCAGAGCAACTGGCCTAGGGTTTAGCCAATGTCCTCCACGAATCTACCATATTCAGGCGGTGGAGGAGGTGGGAGCGGGGTCCGGCCATGGCCGTCGGCCACATCCGTGTCATCTTCAGGGAAGAGGATTCAGAAAGAAATGATGGAGCTGAACGCCGATCCACCGTCGGATTGCTCCGCTGGCCCTAAAGGCGACAATCTGTACCACTGGATCTCCACAATCATTGGCCCTACTGGTAAATTTAAAATCTTAACAGACTTGATTCTATATTTTTAGTCCTTTTTTTTAAGTTGATGACACTCCTTGTCTTCTTTACTCGGTTTGAGACCATATTTTATTGTTTGCGAACAACAAATATTGATAAGGGTTGCTAAATTTTTTCTGGGAATTGAAATTATTTGAAAATAGGTCTGATTTTAGTTGGCCTGAAGTTGAGATTAATTTGCTTGGAGCGAGGGATGAATTGCTCGAAAATAATTTGTTTAAATCGTGACTAACTTGATAAATATGCTTGTGTGCGTTGCGTGCCAGAGGCTATGTTGTTTTAGATAGAGAGTTTATTAATTTTGCTGGGAGCAATGATTTACAGTCAACCAAAAAGGTAAAATGAAATGCATTAGATGAAGAAGAGTTATTTAACATGAAAACAATGAAATATATTATGATATATCAAGTCTAATGTAAGGTTTCAATAAGTGGTGATTAGCTATTTCTAATGTAAGGTTTCATATCATACTAATTTTTTGTAAGAAAACAATGGTAGATACCACCTCCTCATTCAAAGTGTTGAGTCTTCCATGAAAATACTAAAGAAAATAATTGTCATCCTCCATTAAAACAAGGGAAAGTTACTTCTGCAAGAAAATTAATGAAAATGGAACAAATGATATTGCTGCAAGAAAGAAATGGCAGGAAAAATTATCGTATAGTGTGCATAACATTGTTGTCATAAATAAGATAGAATTTGAATGAGAATGCAAATGAGTTAATGCATTGTTAACGTGATGGAAATCTATGATCATTGACGGATGTGTGAATTTCAAACTATATGTTGACTCTTTTTTATTTGCATAGTGGAATGTTGTGGCCAAAACGTGACTTGTAATTTGGGAACAATTGTCACTGGAGCAGCGACGACTTAGCTGTAATGATGGATTGTGAAAATGGAGAGGTTGAGTGATTGGGAGTGAAGGATGCATGTTTCCTAAGCTCAAACGAGGCGGAATCGTGATAGAAATTTTGGAAAGGGATGTTCTTAAGACGTTTATTGGGAAAGTGAATAAAAGTGAAGGATTTGGTGGTGTTGTAGCTAAATTCAAAAGGAATTTTATTGTCTCTAGGGGAAAATTTTTTTCATAGAACTATTGGCGGAATGTGTGTGGAATCTGGCTGGCTATGATTGCAAGACTCTAGTTTTGGCTTGGCACAGTGAACTTGGTTTTAGTTTTGGCTGTGTTAGATAGCCAAGGCATATTTAAACTATAGTGGCATTGTACGGGGTGGAGTTGATGCAGGTCCTTTTCACTTGCATGATTTTTAACAAGCGGATTGGCAAGATACAATTTCATGATGGATCTTGATGAGATGGCATGGGATGGATGACAAATTTGGAAGTCGATGTGGAAGTTTTTGGTTGTGAGAGGTTTAGTCGGTTGATGCAAGAGATGAACCTTGTTTCTTAGTGGAGGCAGAACTTAGTTTCAAAGCGGAGATAGATGAGAGACACGATAAAAACTAGATTTGTTATTGTTTGAGAATGGAGGTGGAATTAACAACGAAAGCACCATTGATGTGATCCTTGATCCTAATCGAGCTATGCAAGCTTACCAAAGCTCCTAAAAGAAGAGTAAAAGATAAAAGAGTAAACATACTCAGTATAAATCATATCCTCATTGCTTCAATCAATGGGTATTCATAAAGTACATTGCTCATCTTAAGTTAAGTAATATATTAATTAATCACATTTAATTGCTATATTAATTACACTTGGGTTCACATCATAATCTCTCCCTGAGCCTGCATAGGCACAAGTAGGTTTGGTAATCTTGTCTGAAACTTTAAACTTCTTTGATATTCACTTTGATATTATTTGATTCAAACTAAAATTAACATGCCTTTAATTGAAGATGGCTCCCTTGAACTAAATTCAATTCAACTTGAAATCAACTCGATATACGATATATGCACATATTTATATATATAGCCACATGTGTATATACATAGATATGTGCATTCACAATTACATAGCATTATACATTGGTTCCAACACACACATATTTGCATTTATATATAATATATCTGTTATTATGACTTCATAAATAAATTTTGAATTTTTTTATATAAATAATAATCTTGATTTGCGATTAAAAATATTTATAAATTTTGTAGTTTGTCTTGCATCAAGTTAAAACTTGATTCAAAATCTAGAACTTTTCGCTTGAATCGAATTGAAACTGAAATCCTTCATTTTGATTTTATGTCGGTTCGTTCAAATTTGTCTCAATTTCACCTATGGAGTGAGCTCCATGCATTGAGTAAGCCCATTTTAATTCTTATGATGAGTCTTTTAGGGCTCTACTGTGAGATGAGTTGCTTTTTAATTTATGGTGAGTGATTTTGATAGTGTATGAAATTTGCAACTATAATTTTATATGAATCCTTTAATTTTTAAAATGCAACTATATGACTGCTAAATTCTTTTTGTCTATGTTATCGTGTATTCTCTTTTGTCAGCCAAGTAATAAAATGCCGTAGCAAGCATGAATGGATTTGCATTGGATTTATCGTAAATTCAGCCAATTGCGAAAAATAGGGGAGTTTAATAAGACACTTACCTAAATCCATTTTCTTCTTTGCGGTAACGAAAACCCCAGATTTTATAAATCTGATCGATAGATGGATTTAATGGATTTGAGGAAGGTTTTGTCGTTTCTCGTTGCACAGGAGGAAGAGACGCGTTCGTCAAACATTGCAAACGGTTTTAACTGGATTTAACTTTAATCATGCCAAACATTTTTCTGGATTTAACACATCTGGATTTAATAAATCAAGCTTTACATGGTTTACTAAAATCTATTTAACTTGAATCCTCGGTGCGGTCAAATACTCCCTTAATCTCACTTGATTTCTGGTAGTCTGCCTAATTATTTTCTGTTGGTAAAACAACGCGGACGCACCATACCTTTCCTTATTTTATTTCTTTTTTAAATGTTTTGCTAATCTGTTGTGAATCTGTGATTAACCCTATACGTAAGAATTAACTGTTGAGAATGCCATTCTTGCACATTGTTTACTATTCCTGATAATTCTATGTTATTTCCTAATTTTCTTTTTTTTTATTTTTAGATTTATTTTACTCTGATTTTTTTTATTATATTTTTGTCCATTTATAGGATCACCATATGAAGGTGGAATATTTTTTCTTGACATTACTTTTCCGTATGATTATCCATTCAAACCTCCCAAGGTACAGCAATTGTTATTTATGAACCGCACTTTAGATATTATACACTTTGGGTTGGACAGCCATTTACTTTTATTATTAGATTTGGTTTGTCATAATTGTTATTTATTTTCTACATTGGTTGTATTTTGAAAATTGCACCTTTCTCACGCCTGACTGCACCTATTGAATGTTGGCTGGCCTGTGCATCTTAAAAATTGCGCCTTTCTCCACACATTCGTCCCCCTACAGAATTGTCACTTAATATCCTTTAAGTATATTTTTCTCTGCTCATTATTGAACGACATTTTAAGTTTATTTTGTTTGATATTTTTTGTGCTACTTCTATTTGTATTATTTGTGGTGTGGCGTTTTTTCATCTGGATTCATCTTCTACTGTTCTTTATACATGTTCAAATCATGTAAGTGTATTTTTCAATATATGAATTTCTACAAATGCTACTTCTATTCATCTTCTACTGTTCAGTATACATTAAACACTGCACCAAAATTTTTTTACTTAATTTCCTCCATAATCTCCTCCATGGCCTTAGCCTCTGCGGCATTATGCCTTCTCTGTTAAGTTTGTTGAAAGTTGTAGGACTCATAGCTACTGTCACCCCCCTTATCTTTAAAATGTGAAAAAAAACATTTTTTTTCATTGTCACTTACATGCTACCTTCTCAAAGGAAATAAACTTCTCCTAAATCAAATAAATACATCAAACATATGGGTGAAGTTTAATATTAGTTCATTTTCTTTTAGGGGCATTTACATACACTCCACCCAATTCACCGATGTATGTACATATCTAACACGTAAATTATATTTTTTTACGTTTATAACACCCAAATCTTTCATATCACATTAAAAATGCCACTATTTTACCTTTTAAAAAGTAAACTACACCTTTGCTTGCATAGGAAAGGTGGCAAATGGGTAAAAATTGAAGTTTAGGTGTTAGATTTAGATATGTAAATACATAAGAATTAATTGATATTTATGTAAATCACCCTTACTTTTATCAGTTCCAATTTTATTTCATTTTAAACTCATCTATCTCAATTTCGTCGAACAAAACAGTGGCTAAGCTTTCCCTGTTTATAATCTAAAGAATGTGAGTGTTTGTATTGAATAAATGTTGATATTGACATAATACCAATGCGACAGTCACTGTCATTCATAGCTCTACAGTGGAATGCTGAAACAATGTTATACGTAAACTGCTAATATTCCACCGAATTAATTGACAATTTTGAATATTCTTGAATTGATGCACTAACTAGTTCAAAAGAGGATTGAGTCACATTCTTTAATCTCTTTTTTTTTATTATTGGAAGATTTGCATACATGACAACTCAATTCCTATGTATTTACATATCTAGCACCCACACTTCTTTTTTTACACACGTACGACCTTAACTATGCATGAAAAGGTGCATTTCACTTTTTAAAAGTTAAAATGGTGGTATTTTAGGTGTGTTGTGAAATATTTGGGTGCTATAATTGTAAAAAAATTAAAATTTAGATGTTAGATGTGTAAATTCATAAGAATTGAGTGGTATGTATATAAATGTCCTTTTTTTTATTTTAATATTGTATGAAGATCTAGAATCTTTTTTTTATCAATTCTATTCTTTATGTATTTCAGGTGATGTTTAAAACGCGAATATATCACTGTAACGTTGATTCAGGTGGCAACGTGAGTTTGGATATACTGAAGGATAGTTGGAGCCCTGCTCTGACAATTTCGAAGGTGCTGCTGGCCATCAAATCAATTTTCACCAACCCTGATCCTTGTATGTCCTGTATACCTGTTAATCTCATTCTTGTGTTTTCTTTCAGGGATATTTTCAAACATGCCACACAATTTTTATGTACTTACATATCTAACCCCCAAAGATTGATATCTACACTTATAACACTTTGGCGTCATAAACCTATGCATGAAAATGTGTTTTTTCACTTTTGAAAAGATACTGGAGGAGGAAGTCCAAACCATAGAAGAAATACAATATCATTGTTGAACTGAAAGAGCTTACAAACACGATGCTTGGAAAGCAAGAAGTACCGATCAACAAACATAAACAACATAAACTATAAAAGATATCCGTGGGAAACGACAAGGGCGGAGACTGTGAGGCAGTGGCATGAGAGGGCTGCGGCGGCGGCAACAACAGAAGAGGGCTGCGATGATTGGGGGAGTGTTGGACAGCTGTGGGGAAGAGCAGGAGGGCTGCGATGGGTGGGAGGAGTGCTGGACAGCTGCAAGGGAAGAGCTGGAGGGGCTGTGAAGGCTGGATGAGGGCAGGTCGGTGATTGGCAGCGGGAAGGAAGGAGCGGTGGCGGCTGGAATGATGGAACGGCAGCAGGAAAACGGACGTACGGTAAGATAAATACCTCCTCGGGGTCGAGCTACAGTCGGAGCTCCACTCGGACCTTTGGAGACGGTCACCACCTAGGATGAGGGACAATCAGAGCACTTCCTCGCCTTTGGATACAGTCTTCGAAGGCAAAAATAGGATGTTCGTGGCTATCCAAACAGAATGTTAAATTCTTAAGCAACAAAAGACCTCCTCCCCTTAGCAAAACAACCCCTATATATAAGAGAGACTGGGACTTCTATTCGACAAAGCTTCTAATTAAGAAATGGAATATAATAGGGATCATAATAGGCAATATTTTAAATTAAGGAAGAGAATAAAAATAATAAGGATTCATAATTTAGATAATATTTATAATAAGAAGAATTTAGAATAGGTAAAAACTAATAAAAATAATAGAAATTCATAATTGGCTAGTGTTAGGAAGAAAAGATGGGAAAAAGGAAATAGGGAATAGGAGGAACGGAAAAGAGGGAAGGGAGGGGGGGGGGGGGGTCGCCCTTGAGAACAGATTGGTTTTTCTCCAAAGCCCCGCGTTAGTAGTGGAGCTTTGACCTCATTTTTCGCAATTTCTGAATCCTCAAGTACGGTGTCAGATCTGCGACACTAAACTTGGTTGAAATGTTATAGCCCCCTGGTAGGTCAATCTTGTTGGCATTGTCATTTCAAAACACATTTTGGTAGAATAGTTATCCCTCCACCTTTGGCACGCCTTAAGCTGGAACTGTATGTAGACGGGTATTCTCATCACTCAGGTATCGAGCCATTCCAGGGATAACCTGCTGCTTCCATTCCTCGCAATTGGCTAAGTGCAGATGAGGAACTGGTATGGGAGGAGAGATCAATGCTGGGGTGAAATTTGCGGCAAGTTGCACCCCACTCATTAACACTTCCTTAGGAGGGACCTCTTTACCAACGGGACCTGGATCCTATTGAAGATTTTTCATCCCCATGAAGCTCTTAGGGCCCATTACGATGTTGGGATTCACTTCATTTGTCAGGACATCTGGTGATGGGCACCATATTGGACTGAAAATAACGTTTGAATAATCCCCGTAATATTTATGACTTCTGGCATTTTGGACCTCTTTCCGTAAGGGTAACTCAGGAAGGGTTCTACACATGTAAAAAATCTGCAATGCTCATATCTGTGGTAGTCCTGTATCGGTGGTCGACTCCTCAAACTCATGCCCTTTTTTGATATCCTAAGTTATTTTTGTTGATGTTCCTCTCAATGTTTGTGAAACAGTAGCTTGAGGTACCATCACTTCATCCTTTGCATGAATGCTTATTACATCAAGGTCACTATCTTTCCGAACGGCTACTGTTACCTCAGGTGGAATCTCTATCTTGTGTTCAACTTGAATTGGCGGTATCTCTTGTTGGCTAACGATGGTAGATTCTCTTTGAATTCTGTATCTCTTTCCAGATCGTCGTTTATCTCACCTAGAAGTTGGTTCTCCTCGTTTATGTCCTCACTGACTTCAGTGTCTGTTGTGTCGTTACCAAACTTTTTTATGACACTTTGCTTGGTGAAGTAGATCACTCTCTTGGTTATGAATTCTCCTTCAACTTGTCCAAAGGCGTGACACTTGCAACATTTTCTGGTTATGACAGTTTTGTGGATTGATTTCATTGGATAGTAGCAAGGGGGGTCGCTTGGTGATGCAGTCTCTCCACTTCGGAACCTTGAGTCTGCGACTTTTTGGCAGTAGTAAGTTGGGAGGAACTGGCGTTGTGTTTCCCGCTTCATCTTTATATCTTCGCATTCCCCTCTTTGACCTTTCAGATCACAGTCGAGGGTAGTCTTCTATTGGATTTCATCTTCTATGTCTGTAATCCATCGTTGAATGCGGCGGGTATCTCATCTTATCTCTTCTCGGAAAGGCTCAGGCATGTATCTCATTAGTGGCATGGTTATGATTTAGAATCATAAAGGAAAAAAATTTTAGTGGAGGTGAAAGAAGGTGAAAAATAATTGGGTCAAGATTGCTGATTTTAAAAATCAACGGGGGGATTAGGCTTAGGAACGTGTGGCAGTGGAATGTGTATTGGGTGGTAGGAAGGAAGTTTTGTGGGTCATAGCGGACGCTAGGAACTATGATTGGGCTAGCTCTGATACCAAATGACATCTGAGGAGGAAACCCAAACTACAGAAGAAATACAATATTATTGCTAAACTGAAAGAGCTTACAAACACGACACTTTGAAAGCAGAAAATACTGACAAACAAACACAAATAACATTGACAATAAAAGATATCCGTGAGAGACAACGAGGACGGAGGTTGCGAGGCGGTGGTATGAGAGGGTTGTGGTGGCAACAACAGCATGAGAGGGTTGCGATGGTTGGGGGAGTGTCGGAAAACTGTGGGGAAGAACAGGAGGGTTGTGATGGGTGGCAGGAGTGTTGGACAGCTGTGGGGGAAGAGTAGGCGAGCTGCGGTGGTTGGAGTAGTGTTGGACAGCTTGAAGAGCGGGAGGGGCTGCGATGGCTGGATGAGGGTAGATTGGTGATTGTCAGCGGGAAGGAAAGAGTAGGGATGGCTGGAATGATGGAATGATAGCAGGAAAACGTGTGTACGATAAGATAAATGCTTCCTCGAGGTCGAGCTATCGCTGGAGCACCACTTAGACCCTTGGAGACGTTCACCACCTAACACGAGGATACCCGACGCACTTCATCGCCTTAGGATACAACCCTCAAAGGGTAAAACAGGACGCCGGTGGCTGCCCAAACAGAACGTTGAATTCTTAAGCAACAAAAGACCTCATTCCCTAAGCAAAATAGCTCATATATATAAGAGAGATTAGGAATTATATTTGATAATGTTTTTAATTAAGAAATAGAATATAATAAATAAGGATTTATAATAGGCAGTGTTTAAAACAAGGAAGAGAATAAAAATAATTAGAATTCATAATTTAGTCAATGTTTAAAATAGGAAAAATTCATAATAGGCAATGACTAATAAAAATGAGAAATTCAGAATTGGCAAAGTGCTAGGAAGGAAAGATGGGAAATATGAAAGAGGGAATAGAAGAAAATGAAAGTAGGAAAGGGGGGGAAAGGGGGGGAAAGGGGGGGTGGCAACTCTCCCCCTTTTGAGGACCAGCCGGTTCCTCTCCAAATCCCCGCGTTAGCGATGGCCGTATTGTTTACATGATGCAATAATTTGAGAGTTATGCATGTAAATATGAATGTTTACGTGTTAGATATGTAAAAACTAAGTATTGTGTAAATGACCCTTTTTTATATGTTTTCTTATATTCCTTGCTCTAATGTTTCTAGGTTGTGTAATTCTGTGTTGTTCCAAACTATCATGTTTTATAGAGGTGTCAATTCGGGTTATAGGGTCAATTCTACTTCGATTCAAATTTGACATAACTTAAAATTGCATGATCTAAACCCTACTCGCGTTCAACTTGATTGATCTGAGTCTAACCTGCAGAACCTATTTAACATAAGTCTTTATGACTTTTTGAGTTAAGTTTAGATTGGTAGGTCAACCCGAGAGCTACTTGGTTAACCCAAATCTAGATTTTCTAAGTTTTTCCAAGTTGCGATTGGATCGGGTTATTAGGTCAATGTTCGACACCTCTATGGCTGTGGGATCAAGCCAACTATATTTGACCATCGAAAGTAAAAAATGAAACCAGGTTCACCAACCACTAAACTAAACAAAATTGTTTAATTTGATGTTAATGGTGTATGTTTGGTTTTTGGTTGTTTTTAAATTGAAAGGACACTATTGTTTTGGTTGATTGGTAGTTTGATTTGATTTAAATTTATGGGTTTACCATAAATCTAAAATAAATAGTTTTATTTTAATTAAAAATCAATTTTTAATATATGTTGTTAGATGAGCAAAGATGCACCCCGAATCCGATAAGTGGTATATTCTGTAACGCAAGATATGATGAAATGAATTGAACTTGTTTTGTATTTTTACAAGGGAATGTGTATGTAAATAACAATAGGAATAAAAACAAAAATATAATTTATTCCATAATTAATAATTCACCTGTATAACTAATAGGAAAACAAAAAATTGTCTAAATCAAAATTGCAATGATAAAAATAAACGACTATCTAGACCTAAAAAAAGAAAATACAATAGTTAAAATAAATATTGAAAAAAAATACACCAAGACAAAAAAAATTTAAAATTTAAAAGTCTGCTCTAGTGGAGACGGTTCTACCGGTGGTTGAATAGATAATGTTATGCAAAATATCAATGTGTGAGTTTAACAAACAAACTCAGTAAATAACAACTATTTATTAAAATATATATGACAAAGAGAATTTAACTTGCAATATGAATAACTAATATAAATGATTAATACGTGCATGTATAACATCATAAAACAACATGAAAGTGATAAATATCAATTATGTTTAGTTGTAACTATAAAATATGCAATTGTTTTCGATCAGATTTCTTATTATTTAGTTTTTTATTATTATTTATATAGTCAGTTTTAACACACACCTTGAAACCAAAAATGTCAATACTATCCCCCAAGTAAACTCGACAATTTATTGTAGAATCGTCACTCTATGGGCTCATCGGCCCGGTAAGCCAAAATTCAAAAAAGTTCTATTGACTTATATGTCATTACACAAGCATACCAAATTTTTCATAGGTATAATATGTAAGCAACATGATAGTTCATGTAGGCTTGTGATATGACAAATGCAAATTCATATTAGCGAAGTGCTAGAAAAGAAAGTATCATAATTGTAGGATTAACTCAATTATATAGGAAATTTTACAGTAATAAATTAAGACTATGATTTTATCATGAGCAATAATTAAAGCCTCCAACAAGTACGTAACATAATTGAAGTATCAAATGCATGACTTAACAATCCTATAAAATAGCTATGAATTCACTAAAAATAATAAATATTAACGCCCCTAACTAGAAGGAATGCATTTATCCTCTAATAAAAAGCAGTTACTTACCTCAATGTGGCAACTGCAATACTTATAAATTTAACAGTTCGACTCGCGATCCTATGCTATTAAAAAGTAAAATATAATTAATTATAAAATTAAATTTATTTTGTTCGTTAATGTAGGTGAAACCTAATCGACATTTGTTATTATCATCATTGTCATTATATTAAGCCATTATTATATTATTTTAAAAGAAGAAAATTATGAATCTAATTAAACTTAACTCTAACTAACGTAAATAAAATAATTTCTGATTGTACCGGGTTGTTGATCCCGTTTTCCTATGTTTTGCCTTAAATTCAGGGTTTAGTCAATCTCTTTGGAAGCGGATTAGAGGGATTTAGAGGAGCTGAAGCACAGAGGCTGCTAGAATCAAGTAGGAGAAAGACGAGGGTTACTTTCCTCGGTGGTTTCAAGTAGGAGCTTGGGGAAGGAGGAGGTGGGTTTCAATTGTCTTTGCATGCCACGATCCGTTTGTTGTTTTCTCAACTCGCTCTAATCACTACTGTGTCGCCAGCGTTGGGTTACCTAGCTGATGGCTTTGGGTGAACAACGAGAGAGAAAAGAGGAGGGAGATTGGTGGTTTCGGTGGGCATGGGAGGAGATAAGGGGGGAGGTGAGCTTGTTCGGTGTCCTAGCCCACACTTGGCTCTTATAGAGAAGTGAGTAAATCTGGAAGATGGCAGGAGTGAGCGGGAGAAAGAAAAGGAAAGGGTCGTGATTTGGGAAGGTTGTGAAACCAGAAGGAAAGAAAATTAGTTTGAGTGATTGTGGGAGAAAAAAAAAAGAAAAAAATTTTCAGTGCTTACCCTTTCAACATTGGATATTTTTTTTTCAATTTTTAATATTAGAAAGGGCATTTACATACGTACCACCCTATTCCTTTGTATTTACATATCTGACACCTAAACGTTATTTTTTTACATTTTATACCATCCATATCTTTCAGATCACATCAAAAATATAACTATTTTAACTTTTAAAAACTGGAATACACATTTTCATGTATAGGTAATATGGCATATATCTAAAAAATTGAAGTTTAGGTGATTGATATGTTAATACAGAGGAATTAAGTAGTATGTTTGAAAATATTGTCAATAATAATAACGATTGCTTTTTTTTGGTAGATAACCCACAGGTTTCCAGCATTGCTCGCTTGTACTTAACTGATAGAGCGAAACATGATCAAATAGCTGCGGAGTTTACCATGCGTTTTGCCCGGTAAAATTGAATGCTTTGTATTTCAACTTTTATTTTTTACCAGAGAGAGTTAATTGGATGAGAAATATTGAGTAAATGAAAATTTGGCTTCTATACTGAATATTTTGTTAGTATTTTAAAGTTATATTTTATGTTATAATATTTTATTAATATGCTGTCCATTTTCATTTAGATAACTCTCCATTGATGAAGTCTACTGTGGGACTGTGGCTTGAGTGGCTTTTAAATAATGTGCTTTGGCTTCAGTAAAATTCTTTTCTCACAAATGGTATTGATTTGCAAATTTTTTTTTTGTGGTTAAATTTTGCTTAATTTCTTTTGCAATAATAGTATTATTTCTGTATATGGTGGATGTTTTGCAGTTGTCCCTTGTGCTTTAAATTAATTTGCAGTTTACTCCCTCCCATAAATCAAAATAGCAACGCCATATATCTTGCTATCAATGCACTTTTTTCTTCTTTCATGGCTGTTTAGTTTTAAAATAACACTTACCAGTTGACACTAATTATAAGATTTATTAAAGCTTGTTAAGGCAGTTATCATACAGACCCTTAACTAGTTGTGGTCAGTTTTATAACTTCTCATTTTCTTTAAAAAATAAAAAATAATAATAAATAGTTTTCATTTTCCTTTTCTTTTTATTTTCGGTCATATATATTCTATTAAAATTTTCACTTCTGTTATGCACAAAATTATTTTATCATCCAATGCTTAGATGTATGCAAGATCGTTTAACGTTTTTGCTTGTAGGGCTTAATTCAATTTTCTTTTGCTATATAATAGAAGTTTTCATGCTTAAGTGACATTTTTTCTTTTTTATTCATTTATTTTTTAAAAAAAAATTAAATCCATTTTTAAATATTTTGAGTATTTTTTAAATAATTACTATCATTAAATATATATTATTTTAATTCAAAGTATAAATAAAATAAAATTAAACTAAACAAACTTAAAAATGGAAATGATCTCAAAAGATCTATGGGATGTTTTGTTTATTGAAAAAGTAATGTAGTCTAAAAAGAATGTAATGGAGAACTAATGTATTGTATTTGAAATACTTTGAAGTTTGGTTTATTTTAAAATAAATGTACGATTTCATTATTGTTTTATAATTTTAATTTTTTTTTGGTTTGAAGTTGAATGAAAATAATGTATTTTAAATTATGTGAAGTCTTAAATAAATTATCGGTGGCTAAAGGTGATGGTGGACATTGGAGAGGGACAATGTGGTTAGTGGCAATCGGTGGCAGACGACGATAGGGGAACATTTTACATAGACGAATGCACAAGAAAGAACTAGAAGATAGATTCTAAATGCATTCATATTTTATGCTGCATTTAAATTTCTTCTGATCAAATGCTTGAATTTTCAAAATCTCTGCAAAAAACTATAAAATACACTCTTTTTACAGCCAACCAAACTGCCGCTTGGTAAATAGGATATGTTATGATTGTCACCTTAAGTTGTTTCCAAGGATCCGTTAATGTTCTTTTTTAATCATTGTTAGTGGTTGGTGATAAGTAGTTGATCAAAGCAAAAGTAGATAATTTTAAACTTAGAAGAGCAATGTATAAATGATGTCATTTATTTATTTGACATGTGGACGGGGCAAATAATATTCATGATTATTCAATCTATCTTTTGACTAGTTCCAATGCCGTACATAAGGTATATAATTATTTAAGTTGTTTTAATCATTTTTTATAAGTGATAATTCAATTAATTTTGAATGTTGAGGCCAAAAATATGCTTTGTGCATGTTTGTTGTGAATTAAAATAAATAGTAAGACTTATAGTAAGAATTCCAAATTTTAGGTGAAATATTTTTAATTTTTACAATAAATAATGAAGAAAGAGAGATTATACTGAGATTTTTATCAAACCAAAAACAAATATGGTTGAATTGAATGTAAAACACACTCAATTAATTAAAAAGAAGTAAATTGAATGAGACATCTCATTTTTTTATGTAAAAAACACTTAAAAGGAAAAAAATCACGGTGTCTGACCTAGTTGAAACAATCTACTATGATGGTGAGTACATAGGTTCAATCTTCTTTAAATTAAGGAAGATAGAGTAACAAAGTTGATCATTATGAATTTATTGTAGTAGAGCATCGATAATAATTCTAGTCTGGATGTAATGAATGTAATTTTCAGTGATGGCGGGTTACAAGGGTAGTAGTCAATTATTATGAAGACAGTAGTCTGCCATGAAGATTATAGACTAAGATTGTAGTGAAAGTCGTGCTATATTTGGCCTTGTGGGCCGAAGATGGTTGCTTCACGAGCTTTGGTTGACCATAGAGACCGTCAAAGAAAATTGCGGGATATATTTAGTATGTATGTTAGAATCGCTGTTATATTTAGTTTGACATAAGTGTAATATATAATAAATCTATCAAATTTATTTTGCACTTATCTCAATAACTTTTAATACTTCACGTGCCAAAATTTGATTAGGATATCCAAAACTACTAATGTAGTTGACTATATTAGCACTGAATTTAAAATTGTTATGCGACTGAAAATTTGAGAATGCTTAGGTGTGTGTTAACTTATGATAAATTTTCCCTAAGATCCTGAAGAAAATTATCAAACTTGAGATTTCTTGTAAATTGTTATTATTTTATTCTCACTCTCATATTATTTTATGCTCACTCTCATAACATGATTTGTTATATTAAATAACAACAAACATGAATATTTTCCAATTCCTTTCAAATGCCAATAACTATAACTGTTTAATAAATTATATGTATATATATCTATAATAACAATAATAATACTAATTAATACTTTGAATTTAATTAAAATAACCCTTCATTGTTTAAGCAGAACACACCATCTCATCTTTCTATAAACAAACATATGCTAACAAACAGACATCAACGGTGAAAAAAACTCAAACCAAGGGAAACCATTTTCCTCTAAAAGACAAATTGATCAATAAATCCTAAAATCTCCACATTATCTTCCTTCAATGTTCACCTTCCTTCTGGATTGACAAATTGCAAAAAAACTGACATTCATTTAAATCATTCAATTCCTCTCTCATTTCATTAGCATTTACATCACCTCCATTTGACAAATTAAGAAAATGACTGCTGTTCCCACTCGCATGAGAGCTCACTTCTTCATGTTCATAACTCTCTTGCAACTGCAAAGCAAACTTAAGGATCCAAAGCACATCACCCATGGCCGGCCTATCAACTCCTTGCTCCGATACACACTTTTCCGCCGTCTCCACAAACTTATTTAAACATTCTAACTTAATCTTTCCTTTCAGGAAAGAATCTAGAATCTCTGTAGTTGTACCTTTTCTTTTATTATGAATTGCCCAATCCACAAGCCTAACTTGGCCGGTGTTTGCCTGTAACAGGGATTAGCGTTAAATAAGAATTATCAAATCCGATAAATCCTTCCACGGAGCTTTCACGAAGATGAAGATCATCAACCGCAAAACAGATCTTTTAAATTCGACTCCTATTTTAGATCTATTAAATCTGGATTTACATCTCTATTCGACTGAACATGGGAAGAATAGAAGAAAGCAGCGAAACACAAATAATGGGAAGAATAGAAGAAAGCAGCGAAACACAAATAAATTAGATTTAACCGAGCTTCGGACTTAAGTTTGATTTATTTATTTATTTTTATTTTATTTTTTTACGTTTGCCTGGATTTAAGTTAAATCGATGCCTGAATCCTTTTAGTAGTAGTTAGTTGCCGTCTCCTGAAGTGTTCAAAATCAAGATATCCAAAGCTACCTTTCACCACAGTGCTTACATGAGACTGGTTAATCAATGGGGCTATCTTCGACAGCCCAAAGTCAGAAACTTTGGCCATGAAATTCTCAACCAGAACTTATCTGTAGGCTTTACATCCTTATGAATGATTGTGGGCTTAGCTTATGTGTGAAGGTAATGAAAGCCCTCTCGCCGCTCCTATGCAGATCTCTAGCCTCTGTTTCCAGTACAAAACAGGCTTGTCTATTTTATAAAAATGTTCTCTTAGCGTTCCATTAGCCATATAGTCGTAAATTAGACACATTTCATTGTCTTCTTCACAGTATCCGATGAGTGAGACTAGGTGCTTGTGCCGAAGCTTGTAAAGCATTTCGATTGCTGTTTGGAATTCATGCAAGCCTTGTTCTGAATCAAGATTTGCTCTTTTGATAGCAACTTTGGTTGCGCCTCCACCAATTATTCCTTTATACACTTGTTGCCATGTTCGAAAGGTGGCTGCTTGCGCAATTTTTCGAGAAGATGGTGGATTTCCTTCCAGTAGTATGAGAATTCTCGGACAATGGTGGCCAACATGAGCTGCTAACATCAGATACATCATCAATTGATAAACTATGAAAAAGAGGGCAAAGATGAGACCAGCAGCGACTGCAAATGTGTTTCCACCGATCACATGGGATTTCTTACTGGAATAATCTTGCTGAAATCTTGGTGAAGTTATTTCTAACTCATTCTCGAGCAGCGCCGACTGCTTTGGATTCAGTCCGGCCAGGGCCGAACCCATGTAGGAACTATGGAGGCAATTACCCCACCCCACCCCAATTCAGATTTTGATTTATATGGGAGATCAAGTTGATCTTTTGTCCTCTCCTGAAATATAAGTTTACTGTTTCTTGGTCTAGCCTCTCTCATGTTGGCAAGCTGAATTTCACAGAAATGGAGTCTCACCACGTAAGTGAAGTTGCTGTCGATTTGAGAAGACCGTGAGAGGTTATATTGGATTAAAAAATTAGCAAGATTTCTCATATGAGAGAGATGGACGTTGGCAGGGATGATGATACTCGTGGCGGAACACGGTAATGTCCACCGAACTTGAAAATTACGGAACGTGAAATTTATTGATTTAACAAAGCGGTGGATTGAATTTCAATTTTTTTTTTATGTTTGACGGGATTTAAGTTAAATTTAGGTTAAATTCGATAAATAGTATGCAACCAAACACCCCATCATTTAGAAAAAAAAAATTAGAAAGCTTTTAAAGTAGTTATCATACAGTCCTTTAACCATTTGTGGTCAGTTTTATAAATTCTCATTTTCATTTATTTTTTCTCAACTTTACATAAGAAGAAAAATCTATTTTTAAATTTATTTCTCCATTATTTATATATATTTCTTGTGGCCTAAAAGGCAAAATATTACTCACATCATTTATTCATTTGACATGTGGATATGGTAAAAACGAATTCATTATTATTCAATTTATTTTTTGACTAGTTCCAAACACATACAATAAGTGTATAATTCTCATATTGATTAAGGTTGTATTTATTCATTTTTTATAAGTGATTATTAAATTAATTTTGAATCTGGATGCCAAAAATATTGCACTTAATATGATTGCATGTTTGATGTGAATTAAAATAAATAGGAAGGCTGATGGTCAAAATTC